GGCTAGCAATACAGTAGTTGAACTACTTAGACCAATCGGAAGAATGGTAAGATATGAAATTAACTGTAATATATTTGAAATAAAGCGTACAACAGTATCTAACTGTCTGAAAATTCCTAAGATCTACGGTATGAATGTTTATGGGTAAAAGAAAATGATAAGCTCGGATATTAGAGAACCATTGCATACTGTAAGCATCACAGCAAGATTGAGTTGATTATACTGTAGTCCCCTGTCTTACGGCTAATTCTGAATGGGAGAAAGGGTCTGTTTTTTCTGTTGGTGCGTTCTTTCATGAATGTCCGATCGGAATGGTGAAATTAATTTAATTCAATGTCCTATGTTCGGAGAGTACAGTGCACTTTGAACGTTAAACATATTTTAGAGATCGTGTTGCAAGGCAAAATTGAAAAACCCAGCATACTCTAGTATCTATCAACCACCTTGCCGAAAGAAAGAGCTTAATTGAATTGCCTCTGTAGGATGTATAAATACGCAGCCACGTTCGAACAGAATGGAAAGTAAAATCCATTGCGGGGCAGGAAAAATGCAACACGCTCTGCACATACCGAAACCCTTGACACAACTCTTTAAATTATTCGTCAATAACTTGCTGAAGGCAATATTTGTATCCATGTACAACATAACTACTTCTCCGTTGGACATCTCAAATCTTTCCGCCCATCGGCTTACTTTGCTAAAGTTAAAGTTATAAAGGTCATGAAAATTTACTGAACGAAATATTTTCCACTTGAAGTTAAACACACAACAAACGTTCTGAGATTCGCTAGCCATCTTAGGATCATTCGATCGAACAATATATAGTGCATAAGTACTTTGATTGACTAAACTACCGGATTTTTTTCTTACTCGAGTATTGCAGTTGGTTTATCATCGACGAAATATATAGGCAAATTTGCAAAAAACCTATTTTTACAGTGTTTTGTGTGATTAAATGATACTGCCTTCTTGGAGGAAACTTATAGGGTACATAAAAGGGACATAGATGTCAAGTCTATTGAACAAAATAACGTATTTTTAAAGGCAACTGTACCAGTCAAAACTGTCTACATTCAAGCGCAATGTTGTCAAAAAAGTTCATTAAAAAAGAAAGCGTGATGTATCTCTATATAAGGCTACATGTATCACAATATCAAGCCCAGGATTCTAGACGATCAGAAAAGAAAATAGTTGTTTAAGGGGTGTTGTTGAATGTGTGATGTTCTCGAAACCGTAGTTATCCTTGTCGTAGGTCTAATTAAATGTATTAATATTGCACAATTACAACAACGATCGTTTGAAACCAGATAATAAAGACCTAAATCGAAATTTAGTTAGTAAGGAAGATTTTAAATTGAATTTATTCGCTTCGGCTAAATAATGTTTTTCATATTTATGTTCCTTATTTTATATATTTTACATTTTACGAGCAGAGAGTTTCATATGTACTTATTTTATAGTGTGTTTTTTTATGTTGTAATGTTACACTACTGTATTAGGTTAGGGTGAAGGTTGGCGCCTGTTTAAACGTTTAAACTCGCTGCATTTGTTTGCACCTGTCCTAAGTCAGGAGCCTGTTGTTCAGTGGTTGTCGTTTGTTGGTGTGGTTCATAGGTGTTTCTCGTTTCTCGTTTTTTTATATAGATTAGACCTAATTTTCCTGTTTGAAATGTTTAAGACTAGTCATTTTGGGGCCATTTATAGCTTGCTGTTCGGTGTGAGCCAAGGCTCCGTGTTGAAGGCCGTACTTTGACCTCTAACTTTTTATACCATGTGACTTGGACGGAGAGTTGTCTCATTGGCACTCAAACCACATCTTCTTATTTATAAATATTTAATCATATACGCAAAAAGAAACCACATCCTTTATGATGTCCGTTTTCTGTCATTTGAAGGGTTTTACTTTTTTTGGCATCAGTTTGAAAACAAATAAACATTAAATTAAAATTATTTTAAAGTTTAAGTAGAACTCGTCATTTCTTATCCAGCATCTCATTTCCCAACAAAAAAGTTGATAATAAAAATTTGAGATAAAACAACTTTTAGCAATGTGTGTAAGAAAGAAATGCGACTAGAAATCAGAACGCAATCACAGTGTCATTCTTTCTTTGTAAGGATTTTGATGAGGTTTCAATTTTCTTTAAATTATTTTAAAAACAAATTTTTGATAAAATTTTGTTTTTGTTTTTATAAAATTCTGCAAATTAACAAATAGTTATACCCTTGATGTCAAAACCAATTCTTGTTTATTCGTACTTTATATGAAATTGAGTATTTAATTACAAAGTAAAACGTTTGGGAAGCATAACTTCTGTTGTTAAGTATACATGAATAGAAAATATCTAAAATGTTACTCTAATGCCTCGACAAACAATAAATAATAGAAAAAAGTCACATTGTTTCTTGTTTAAACTATTGCTTAAGTAGACATCAAAGTGATATTCAAAGCTTAAGGGCATACGATGCTGTTACAGGGGAGGTAATGACGTTGCTAACGTAAAATGTTATTTTTCGCGACGTCAAACTGCGACATATTGGGGAAACATGCATTTTTCGAGTGATTTGAATCCATAGCTTGAAAACGAGTACATAGACCCCTCTTTTTTAAAATGACATTTGACTTGATACTGTATGGAGATTATTTAGTCAAATTTTAGTGAAAAACCACCGATGATATTTTTTAAATTAGATAAATATACCGCAAAAAATGTCGTTTTTTTTTCTAAAATCTTGAAAATTTAATAAGAATGAATTATTTCCAATAATTGTTTCACAACTTAAGAGAATACTTTTGTAAAGAAGGTATTCAAAATCGTTTTACAAAAACCCGCATGGGTTTACCTTTCGAAACAGACAAGAGGCTCACGAGAGCCTGATATCGCACACCTGTAATTTCAGTTTCAGGAATTTGACTTATTTGTAGATCTTACTTTGCTGAACAATTTTGTCATTTACACTTTCTCTCTTTCTATAATAATATTGAAGATATTACATAACCCAAAGCTGTTAAATTTCCTAAAAATTAAATATTTCTGGACAGTAACCCAACAATAAGTTGTCCTATTGGTCTGAAGATTACTTTAAAGGTAAATCTAAACATGTTTAACACTTTCACCTATGTCAGTTTTGCTCTTACTGTTTTAGTTTTTGAGATGAAAGCCAAAAACTTCATTTGACCCCTATGTTCTCTTTTTAGAAACTGCCGCCATGTTTTTAAATGAATCAAATCCCCGAATACAATCTATAAACTAGATACCCTAAGTAACATTCTAGTTAAGTTTTTAAGTATTTGGCCAAGTAGTTTCAGAGAAGAAGATTTTTGCAAAAGTAATTAGACTTTCAAAAAAAATGTAAAAAACAACGTTTTAAGGGCAATTACTCGGACAGTAACCCTACAATGGGTGGTCAATGGGTGGTCAAATTGGTATGAAAATTTTATAGCAGATAGATGTTGACTTATTCATCACTTTAACTCCGTCACTTTTGCTCTAACTGCTATAGTTTTTGAGATAAAATCCAAAAACTGCATTTGACCCCTATGTTCTATTTTTAGCCATGGCGACCATGTTTGTTAATTGATCAAAACTTCGGATACAATTTATAAACCAGTTACCCTAAAGAACATTCATTAAAAGTTTAGAAGTATAAGGCCCAGTAGTTTCAGAGGAGAAGATTTTTTAAATGTTAGCAAACATGATGAACAAATTGTGTAAAATTGTCTATAAAGGGCATAACTCCTTAAGGGGTCAATTGACAATTTTGGTCATCCTAGATCTTACTTTGCTGAACAATTTTGTAATTACAGTTTATCTTTATCTTATAATATTCAAGATAATAACCAAAAACTGCAAAATTTCCTTCAAATTAACAATTTAGTGGCAGCAGCCCAACAATGGGTTATTCGGTTCGTCTGAAAATTTCAGGGCTGATAGATCTTGACCTATTGAACATATTTATCCCTGTCAAATTCGCTCTAAATGATTTAATTTTTAAGATATAAGCCAAAAACTGCATTTGACCCCTATGTTCTATTTTTAACCATGGCAGCCATGTTTGTTGATGGATCAAAACTTCGGAAACAAATTATAAACTAGATAGTACCCTAAGGAACATTCAGTTAAAGTTTGAAGGTATTTGGCCTGGTAGTTTCAGAGGAGAAGATTCTTGAAATTGTTTACGACGACGACGACAAACGACGGACGCCAAGTGATGGCATAAGCTCACATGGCCATTTGCGCCAGGTAAGTATGTCTATCCATAGGATAGAAATGTCCAAGAAACCGAAATATTAGGTAAATGTCAAAAATTTCGACCGCATTTATCTCTAAATTCAGCACATGAAGGTATATTTTTTATAACATATTGGAATTGACCAGGTGAAAAATAGCCTGTATGCAAATTTTCATAAAAAAATCACCGTGGGATCGAAACTGAATCGTATGCCCTTAAGGAGACATACGATTCAAAATGATTTTTTTTACAATAATACATTATAAAAAGTGTAAGTAGGAAATGTTAAGAGCAAAAAAACAAATATCTAAACACAAGGATAAAATTGAGAATGGAAATGGGGAATATGTCAAAGAGACAACAACCCGACCAAAGAGCAGACAACAGCCGAAGACCACCAATGGGTCTTCAACGCAGCGAGAAAATCCCGCACCCTGAGGTGGTCCTCAGCTGGCCCCTAAATAAAATTGTGTACTAGTTCAGTGAAAATAGACGTCACACTAAACTCCAAATCATATAAATGAACTAAAATTACAAAACATACAAGACTAACAAAAGCCAGAGGCTCCTGAATTGGTACAGGCGCAAAAATGCGGCGGGGTTAAACATGTTTTGGGAGATCATGAACTCATGTACTTTTAGGTAACGACGTGTACTAAAAATGCAGAGGGAATGCGTGAACTAAATCAATAAAGATCAAAATATATACAATGTATAGTTGACATAAATCAACATACTTTGAATTTAAAAAAAAAACAACATTAACTTACGTTGTGCTGTAACTGTCAATAGAACAGTTGTTTGGATTAGTAGCACTAATAATATATCAGCGTTTATATTATCCATCAGTCGGAACTAATGTCATCCTAAAATTAATAAATAAGGGATGATCGTTTGCATTAACAACAGTTCTTTTAGATAAAAATTATCGAGGAAGTAAACCAAACTATCTTGAATGCACATGATTAATCCTTTGTAGTACATATATATATGCAATAATGCAATATTGTTCAGTATTGTTCATTTTCTTACTTTTTTTATGTCAATTTTACACATATCATAAATTTTTAAAACTGTTTTGATTTTAGAAGTGCATTTGTATTAACAGTTCTCCGTTGCACGTTATATTATTCCTTAGATCGAGATTATATGAAGTAGGCTTAAGTTTAAAGAAACCTATTATTACCCTGCAACAATGTAGTGTACTTGTTCTCATCTAAAGACATATGTCATCCAGAAAAACACGATGAAAAGAATCGATTCAGACTAAATGTAAAGTTCGGATTGTTTGGTTCTCTCTTTCTCAGCATTCATATACGTTTAACAGATATCTTGATCTATCAACACTACTGAAGGCCAAGACTATCATTCAAATAGTTCGAGGATATAAAATAACCCACACAAATACATATAGAAAATAACAGGTAAAAATGTCAAAACACAATTTAAACAATCGTTAAAAGATTTAGAGGTGAGGTCAATTTTCCTTGTTTCTCAGCAATGCCATAATTTGAAAAGCTATCGTAAATCTAAATGAAACATACCACATTCTGTATGTGCCTGTCCCAAGTCAGGAGCCTGTAATTCAGTGGTTGTCGTTTGTTGCTGTGTTACATATTTGTTTTTCGTTCATTATTTTGTACATAAATTAAGCCGTTTGTTTTCTCTTTTGAATTTTTTTTACATTTGTCATTTCGGGGCCTTTTATTGCTGACTATGCGGTATGGGATTTTTTCATTGATGAAGGCCGTACGGTGACCTATAGTTGTTAATTTCCGTGTCATTTGGTCTCTTGTGGAGAGTTGTCTCATTGGCAATCATACCACATCTTTTTTTTTATAAGAACAATAATTTATATCAACAATAAGTAGCCATTTCTTATTGAAGGTTAAAATTAATTAAAACTGTATTACATGATTCATAGGAGGAACCAAATTGGAATCTTCATACGAATTTTTTTCCAAAGAATTTTAAAACATAACGACTATAACACCATACAATAATATAATATTTTGTGGTCGTATAAAAACAGGAAACTTTTCAACACTTCAAATCAGCATGTGGACAGTATATATATAGTTTACAATTCGATTCAAATTAAATTTAAACTTATATCTACAACATTTGTGTTATATTTTCCTTTTTATATTTATAAATCATGTGTCTTAATGACATTTCAAATTATTAACAACAGTAAAAAGACGACGTACCTTGTGTCAGAAAATCCACCATATTATGAAAAAGCGGAAGCATTTATTTACAACAACAATTTTCCAAGTAATCTGAACTTAAATCAGACACTTTTTAATATCTCATTTGACATCAGATAAGCATTATTTTGTATACAAACTTTGTACTATAGATAAATGAATTTTACATGACAATTGATAATTTGTTAACTAAGTACATAATGGGAACGTTTTGACAAGCTCACTAATATAAACGACACGATATGATAGTTTCAGGCGTATACAGTCCACCAGCAATAACAAATAAATCCCACTGTATCAGATAAAACTCTTGCATGTCAGTAACTATGTCTAGAGTTAGTAAGAGAAAACGCATAAGTCGAAAACAAACCGACAATGCCATGACAAAAAACAAAATAACAACCAAAAGACAAATAACATTATACAAAACACAACAAACAAAAACTAAAGACTGAGCAACACGAATCCCACCAAAAACCCAGGGTTGATCTCAATCTCTTGATGAATATTTCCAATCAACAAGGTAATAGCACTGAAAAATATCTGGAATGGGTTCTACACATACTAACCAAAACAGAAAGTTCTAGAATTTCAATTTGAGAAAACGATGATCTTGAGCTAGAAACTTCTGCAACTTTTCCATTATTCTATCACAACACTCATGTAAAATAAGATTTGGTAAAATCTGACATTATGTGAAAAAGTTCATACAGACAAAATCGATGGAGCGTGACCAATTTTGTTATGATTACAATAAACAAAAATGTAGTATAAATCATTATACATTATTGTATATACTAGTATACTAGAACACACCCGCGAAATCGCGGGCATTTAGAGCGTGGTTGAAGTATGTAAACTGTTGTATGATGATTTTTTGTAAAAGATTTTATGACTGGAGAAATTCAGGAAAGGTATCAAAAGTCATATGTACTTGGGCATGTTGGGGACAGGCCAATTTTTTTTAGCCCTCCCCCTTTTTTCCAAAGTCCCTTATTTTTTGTTTTCTGTTAATTTCAATTATTTTCGCTTTTTTCTGTATACTATGAACATACATATACTATAAGTAAAGTGTATTTGCTATTACTATCAATTCCAAGTTTACTATCCACTGCTCTCTATATAATATATCAGTGACCGCCGTAGAGAGTAAACTTGGAATTGATAGTAAATAGCAAATACACTTTATTTATAGTATATGCATTTTCATAGTATACAGAAAAAACGCGAAAATAATTGTCCTGTCCCCAGGTATTTATGAAAATTATGTTTAATTTTAAAACAGTCCTAAACGGAAGTCTTGTCCATGACCTAAAAGTCCGTCCGATGACGGAAACAATATCCGGACGCCTTTATTTTCGTTTTCTTCCCAAAATAACCCAAACTGAATAATCATAAGCGAGGATGACAAATGCGACTATGCATGGTACCTATAGGACACAGAGGCATGATGATTAATTTATTGTGGAAGGAAGAGAAGCGACACACAAAATGAGGTCTTTTCATTTAATAGTATAGATAACTATTACTGTAACGAATTTACAGTCTGAATTATTTCAAAATATGAAGTATAAACATAATAATTTTAGTATTAAAGGAAAAGTAAGCATCTGTGGTACATACAGTTTTGAATGTTTCGCAATGAAATTTCAGCATTGAAATTTATGTACTTCATACTTCGGTACTGGCATGAAATAGGAGTATATACATGTACTTGATTGAAAATGGTGCTATAAAATGTTTTGAAATCATTTTTGATTAAGAAATATATCTCCCTTGTGTCTAGCTCTGATTCCTTGTCCGCATTCAACTATTGTTTAGGTCCTTTTTGGTTTAATCAGCTCTTCAACGTTTGTATTACGGTTTTGATGTTCAAATATTTTGGCCTCGATCATAACTAAAGAGACATTTATTGTCGAAATGCGCATATGGTGCAGTAAAATTGGGACCGTTATTGTTATTTCTTTCACTGGGTTGATAACTCTACTGGTTTACTAAAGTAATTGAAGGTATCATTAGGCCAGTAGCCAGTTCCTTCGGTACTAGGTTGAAAATACCTGTTTGATTAAAATTTGCTGGTATAAAATATCTGAAATATTTGGAATTAAGGACTAGATCTCCATTATGGAAAGCTCTGATTCCTTGTCTGGATTAGGCTATGCTTTAGATTTTTTTTTGTTTAATCGACGTATGTTTTACGTTTTTGGTTTTCAAATATTTTGACCTGGAGCATCACTGAAGAAAAGTATTAACTATAATACCGAACTCCAAGGTCAATTCAGAAAAAGGGAAGTCGATAAAATCTGACTATATCAGTTCTTGGAAGTAAATTACAGTGTGCCATGTGAGGTGTTATTATATTTAAAGTGTTTAGTTAAAACAAATGTTATGTTTAAATAAATAAAAAGTCATGCATTTGCGACGAAGTTATAATGATGTACATTTGCACCTTAATAGCGTGTGATAAGATTGTGTAAGGGAATTCCGAGTGTGCTATGCCACTGTTCATTGAAACACACTCTTTCTCTATACCATGGTTTATACGGACCTACTTCTTTATATAAAACTGCATCTAATAAGATATGTAGATTTCGGGAAAGAGCTTTTTTGTAGTATTTCAAAAATTGATTTTGCTATGTATTTGTGTAGTAACGTTTTATAGCTTTAATTATGGTAGTGAGATATCGAAAAACTATGCTGATACAAACATATGGGTTTTGTAATTCTGGCAAAAATTTGGTTGCTTAAGGTTTGGTCGTTATTTAAAAAAATATATATTATTTTCCCTCTACTCAATTTACCCCTAACGCTTATTTTGATATAAATTAGTCATTATAATTGAAAAATAATAGCAATTCGATTGGATGTAGTTATTATTGCTTCACATTTACATGTTAAAATGTTTCCTTGGTGTGTTGCGTCAGTTATTTAATTTTAATTGTATACAAACAGTTGATTATAAAGACATTGATTGCATTTCTGAAGTTTAAACTTTAAAACAAATAATAGAATTACTTTTGTTTGTGGATATACAAATATACGTAGGATTAGATTTGTCTGTTTTTCTTCAATAAAATGTGCAAGTCTATACAACCATCGTGGATTTTTACAATAAGAATTAAGCGAAAAAAATTTAAACTGAATAAAATTAAAGGTACCAATTTTACTGCACCAGATGTGCATTTCGACAATAAATGTCTCTAAATGAAACTATTTAAAAATTCTAAACTGAAGAGCTTATAAAACGAAAAGGACAAAAAGAAAAGCCAAAGCTGGACAAGGAACCAGAGCTTTGCATGAAGGAAATATATTCCCTAACTCAAAATAATTTCAAAAATTAAATGTCATAAACATCTTTGTTAAGAATTCAAAATCTGAAGACAATAAGCCATTAGAATTTAAAATTATCCTATATAGGAACAACTTCTTATCCGAAAACTGGTTAATTTGCATCTTTTCCATGCTCTTGTAAAACAATTTCAAAATTCTGCAATGCAAACTGGACACTAAACAAGTTCGTGTTATTGTTATCAATGAAACAAAATGTGAAAAAGATTTGATTTGCAAATTCACACCTTTCCACAAAATATTCTTAAACACAGAATATTTAAAACGCACTCTTTAGAAAATGTAGAAATACTACAGACCATTCGTTTTCATCTTTGAAAGTTACTTTGTTAAAGAAAAAAAACCCAACATTTTAACATATTTAACGCACGTCTACATAAGGTAAGACGTTTGTGTGTTCTAAAAAAAGATAGCAAGTTTTAGTCAGACTTTTCTTTTATCATTCCAATTTAACCCAAATGAAAGTACTGAGAAAACGAAGTCATAATATGACAGACTTGTCTTTCTGTAACATAACAATTCAATTTGATAATTCTTAAGTCACAAAATCTTGTCAGACACTATACCTGCAATATAATCAAAAGTTTGTAAAATATACAAGAATCACGTTGAGCATAACATTATACGTCAACTTTTTTTTACATGGAAACGTTAAAAGTATGTAAATATCGGTAAAAAATTCAAAAGCATTTGTGAATACCGTATCTTGCTTAACAAAGTAGTTGACATGTCATTTCGTGTACAAAGCGTAAGGAAACGATCAAGCTTTTTAACCTGTAACAGTGTTAAATCTCTCATGAAGAGTGAAACAATTTTGCGCACCATGTAAGAGTGCATCTTTCAGCTACTTGGTCCCTTCCTACTTAACTTATAGAGCTACATCAAAAACGCTTGCCATCACAACTTAGATAGCCCTTTCCTAAATATAATAAGCTATACAATAAGCTATAATTTATGAATATAAAGACATGAAACAACAACATTTAACAATTAAAAATTTGCACAACAGTTACACAAAGAAGAACGAAATTTCTCAAATTTCCATAATAAGTAATATTCCTAGGCCACAAAAATTATTCACCGACATACTAAACTATATAAATTCATAAGGAAGAAAGAAAAATATCTAAGGGTTAAAACGTTCACTTTTTTGAATATTTTCCTATTTCACTGAGGACGTATTCAGATTAAGGTTATATTTTCCTATCGATTTAGTAAAGAAACGAAATCTAAAGACGGGACAAAAGGGAATTTTTCCAAAAAAATGAGTTCTGATTTTAACATAAAACGGGCATTCAAAGAAAAAATTAAGACCTGTCTTAAAAATTTGGTGACTATGTTGAAAGCATCTATCCCATCGAACTTGAGAAAGGATACAGCCGATACAGTTTAGAACGACTCATATCTTGACTAACATCTAGAAAGTGTCAGTGAGGGTCGTTTGAAAACAAAAGAGATGATTTCAGCTTCCCAATTGTGAATTTTCTATTTTTATGTAGCAACATTCCAGCAGCGCCTGCATATGGAGTATATATCTCACAATTGATACGATGTTCCAGGGCTTGAATTTCCTCTCATGATTTCCTTGATAGAGGATTGCTGCTGATAAGGAAGCTATTAAACAAAGAGTTCCAATTGTTGAAGTTCATCACTTCGTAAATTTTACGGACGCCATTACAAGTTGGTTGACCGTTATGGAATATCCGTTTCACAGATGACAGCAGATATGTTCCAATTGTCGTAACTACAATCCCGTCCACTTTTTCCCGAATGTGACATACCGAATTATTAACGGGTTTGTACTAACATGAGCAGAAAGACGGCTACCACATGTGGAGCAGAATCTGCTTACCCTTCCGGAGAACCCGAGATCACCCCCAGTTTTTGGTGGGGTTCGTGTTGCTCAGGCTTTAGTTTTCTATGTTATGTTTGGGTACTTTTGTTTGTCTGTTTTTATTGTTTTTTTTTTAGCCATGGCGTTGTCAGTTTGTTTTCTACTTATGAGTTTGAATGTCCATTTGGTATCTTTCGCCTTTCTTTTAGTCGGACTGCCTCATCAACAGGTTTGATAATTTATTAGTGTTGTTTCGAAAATTGTATCCAAAAATAGTTGATTTAGTAGGTGGTATTAGTGTTCGTAAATAATAAGGAGGTTGTTCATGATAGATATTGTAAAATGACTGAAGTTGCCTTCGGTTTCTTCTATCTAAGACCATTTTAAAATATTACATCTCATTTTTGCAATAACAATAGAGACCTGTATCAATTCTTACAGCTTCAAGCTGCAGTTTTTCTGACGGTTCAGTGTTGGCGACAACACAATTATCTCATACATTGCAACAATACTCAAATAATGGTCTTATATCAGATAAATATAGTCTTTCTGAATTTGAAAGAGTGAGATTATATTTTAACTTTCGTAATAAAACCTAGCTGTTTAGATATATTTTTAATTTTGTTTTAAAACCTGATCGTTCCATTTATTTTCACCACTCAAATTCCCAAGTGTTTTATCGACTATCTTTATAACTTAATAATGTAGTCGAAATAAAACGTTTTCTGCGCCCCTTTAATAGCAGATTTATTCCTGTATTGCTATGAATCTCAGTTTATGACCAAACTCAGTAAAGACACATCATTGTTACATTCGGTTGATACATTCAACAATACCTACCGTTATCTGGATGATATTTTTTCGTTAAATAATCCAGAGTTCTCTAAATATACTACCGAAATTTATCCAAAAGAACTTACTTTAACTAAATCTAAAATAAACAGCAGCAGTTGTCCTTTTCTAGATTTAGACATTTCAATTTCTAAAGGGAAACTCCATACTAAAATTTACGACAAAAGAAACGATTTTTCATTCCCTATTGTTAATTTTCCTTTTTTAGACGGCGATGTGCCTTTGGCTCTATCATACGGTGTTTATATATATCTCAACTCGTTCGGTATGCCCGTGTGTGTAGTGATGTCATAGATTTTAACGAACATCACTGGTAAATTATTAAGTCAGGGATTTCGTTACCATAAATTAAAACTTTTACTAAATTCTTTCATAGATACAAATATTTGATTAGTAAATTTGGCTGTTCCTGTACGTGATCCGTGTAAACTCATCGAACCTTTAAACAAATTTATTAGTAAGGGTTATCGTACCAATGTTGTTATTAGATCTCTGAATATAGTTTATATTCGCACTAATATCGATTTTGTCATTAGCAAATTAAAACATAACTAAATTTGTATTTTCTTTTCATACGGGATGTATAGAGACACACACACGTTCATTTTTATCTATAAAGAAGTCACTCCTAACTATCCTACTACCTGTCGATACATTTATTTTTGGCATTGCACAAGTCATGTCTTCTTTAACTGTTCATGACGTTAAAATACTAAATCCCTGGGGATGTGTTTTAGTTGATTTCAGTCTCTGATGCATGATTTTTTATTACTAATTGTTTTGGCTTTTAACTAGCTGTCAGTAACTGCGAGTACTCTCAAATCGTACTTTCTTGTTAATTTGACCTGTTGAAACTATTTGTTATGCTTTTTTTGTTATTTAATGTTAACATGGATCTTATATACCAGCTTTGATTATTTGAAATTACTATAAGTTTTCACTTCTTCGTACTATGAACATCAAAATTAATTCATTTCTCCTTAGATACTGTTCTTGCACCTGCACAGGAAGTTTTATCTAGCACTAATTGTAGTTTTATTGTTGATATTCACCCCATATGTACCAAGTGTTAGATTAGTTTTATTGATATTAAAGAAATTTCTTGGTATTCCAAAACGGAAGATTTTATACACACAGATGAAGTATACTTAACAACAAAATTATTTTCATTCACTGTGTATAATATGACGCAGGTTTTCTCAAAAGTGATGATTTTCTAAAAAATGTTTAATATTTCACAGTGGTATCATACTTTAACTTTGTTTAAACCTGTTTATTTACTTTTGACCTTAATTATTTATCCCTTATAATTTTTATTAACTATGTATTTGCATTCAGGTATCACAGATCAAATTTATTCGTTCATTGTGTGTTAATTTACGTTTTTTGATTGAGTTAAGCCTTCCAATTGATATTTTATAGTGTGTCTTTCTATGTTGTGATGTTATACTATTGTTTCAGAAAAGGGAGAAGGTTTGGTACCATTAAAACGTTTAATCCCGCTGCAAATGTTTGCACCTGTCCTAAGTCAGGAATCTGATGTACAGTAGTTGTCGTCTGTTTATGTAGTTCATACGTGTTTCTCGTTTCTCGTTTTTATATAGATTAGACCGTTGGTTTTCCCGTTTGAATGGTTTTACACTAGTAATTTTTGGGGCCCTTTATAGCTTGCTGTTCGGTGTGAGCCAATGCTCCGTGTTGAAGGCCGTACCTTGACCTACAATGGTTTACTTTTATAAATTGTTACTTGGATGGAGAGTTGTCTCATTGGCACTCATACCACATCTTCCTATATCTAGTTGCATGTTTGCAAAATATATTTGGATTGAATGAAATTAACCAGGTTTCTGACCAGTTGTTTATTTGAAATAAATCAATTGAAATATGTTTCTGTATTAAGTCTGGATTTGCTAAGTACTCTTTATTGTAATTTTTTTGTATTTAAGTATTGTTTTCCTTGTATCTTTGTATTGTCTATCTTAAAAATACCAAAGAGTTAAGTGCCTTTATTTGTGATCTGGATTTTTACTTTATTATTCAATTGATCAAGACTACGAAAAAGACTGAGTTGTGTAAAAATTAGTATCAGCCCTGCAATAGTGTAGTGTACTTGTATCTCCTTATTTGTGTATATCCCTGTTTTATACTGCTTTACTCGTATCAAAACGAATTTATTTGAAAAACGCGAATATAAGAGTCTCCCATCATAGACAAAAGACAAAAAAAAAAAAAAAAAAAACAGCATAGAAATCGGATAATTTTTATCATATAATAGAAATCGAACTTACATCATACAGTTTAAACAGAGGATGGATCTTTTTTTTTTATGATTGCCTTGCTTCAATCAAAATTTATTTACTATTTTGTTTAGAAAACAAATGATTTATTGACGGTTAACATTACCAAAATACAACTTACCTGTTCAACATTTACCGTTGTGTAAAACAGGAAACTTTAAAATGGTAATTATACACATAAGCAGGTAGTTTTAAATTACAAATTAACTTTTAACACATGTATGCAATTTTTCTATTTAACTCTGATGAATTCAGAACAAAAGAAATTATCTTTATTTGGCGATAAATAAAGAAGCTTTATAAATTATATGGGTATGCCCTAAAGTCTCTCAAATGATAGTTCATTACATGGTAAAAGACAACGTGCCTTATTATAGAAATTTCTCCAGACAAAAAATATGCGGATGTATATTTTATTTTTTTAGTATTTCCAAGTAATCTAAACCCCAAATGCACAATATAATAATTTAAACCAGTGAAGCATATATTTGTATTCAAACATTCAAAATACGTAGGTGTGCTTAACCTAAAATTAAATTGCCTTTAGTAAACATTCAGTACTGAACGTTTTGCAAGTTTCACATAATATATTTAACATGCTACGAACTTTCTAGGCGTATTGATGTATAACGTCATTGTCAGGAAGATAATTTATAAAGAGATCAATACATTACATTTAAAAATAAAGTCTTAAAGGTAACAAATGAATCTATGAATTTTAGTATTGATTAAAAACTTAAGATAATAATGACTGGTGTAAAAATCATTTTAGGGCCCTATTTTCTAAAAAGCTGAATGTCGTATACCTGAATACATGTACCAATTGCATATTAATATTGCATATCAATGGGTGCAAAAACTGAATGATATTGATGCATTAATTGGTTGTTAGTGTTTAACGCCACTTTCACCACTATTTTGCTATACCGTGGGGACAATTCTTTATTGGTGGCGGAACCTGCATTGTCCAGAGAGAACTGACCTTCTGTAGGAAAAATGACAATCCCAGTCGATTAAGATCGAAATTGAACGGGGTTCGTACTCACAAACTTAGTATTTACACACTAGAGATCACTCAGATGAACTTCTAAGACCATTCGATCAACGAGGCACCTTGATATTAAAACGAAAAGCTATATGAAATCGAAAAATACAAATAATCGAAATTCAAGATGACTATTTGAATTTCATCGTTCACTTCTTTGGTTTTAATGTAAACGTACCTGATGTAGAATAGTAGAAGGCTGCATATTCTTTTTATTATATAACTGCAGTTTTCACTCGGTAGTATTTCACCAACATTTGTTTTAACGATTTTACCATGTAATAGATTATATGAATCTAGATCAGTTTTCATTTCATTTTCATAGTATCATCATTGACAAAATTAAAGAAATCTTTAGGTTTTCAACCTTTCCTTGGAAAGATATTTTTATTTTGTTCAGATTAATTTGGGTTTTCTGCCATTTTTATTACTGAAATGTCGCTTTTGTTTCATACCATTCCGATAAGATAGTTTGTATATGAAATCGAGCAGTTATTCAATAAAAAACTCTGTGGCGGTCATTTCCCATTACGCTGTTTTTCGTGTTTTTAACAACTGGGAAAGATATCTCTCAAATATTTTCTCCAAAATGTTCGTTACTTCCTTAGGATGATTTGTTCAATTTTGACCGTAGCGATTCGGTTACATCTAATAAGGTTAGCCACCTTTTTTTTTGACATAAGTGGTATGTCGGTGTTACTCATAAACTCTAAATCAATGATACAATTTGATATGAGACATTGGTCCACAAACAGGAAATTACGGTCAAGGTCAATGGTCAAGTTTATGTCAAAAATTTGGAACGCTCCTTGGTATGACATGAGGCAACGCAAATTTATTTGAGTCGATCGCGAAATGATGTCGTGACACTTAAAGGACTTTTCTACACTTCAATATTCAAATTTAGTTGTTTAGTAGGATAACTCCATTATCACACATTTTAGGACCTGGAATTTTTTATTTGAATGCATGGCCTTTGACTTTGAAATTGAGGTCAAGGTCAAACGCCGATTTGACATTTCGGATTTGACCTTTTTCAGCCGGTTTGTCTCCGAGCCGACGATCGTCTGAAGTACTATATAATAATAAATAGTTAGTGTATGTAATGTACTTTATAACTTCATACAGTAATTGCTTTAATTAGCGAAGCTAAATTAATTAAATCCCAAAAAGAGTTCAGTAGCTGGTTCCTTACAGTCTACGTTTTGTAAGCAGGCGGGTTCAATTTGTCTTAAATTTATGACAACTCGGCCCACGGCAAACTCGCCCAACTCAAACACTCTCACTAATTATTACAACTTACATCACTTTATCAAACTCGCACCACTCAAAAAAAGAAAAAAGAAATATAACAAACTATAAGAATCTGTATACTATTAAATTTGGAGACCAAACTTTTTTAGCCGGTTTGTTTCCGAGCCGAAAATCATCTGAAGTGTTTTATAATAATAAATAGTTAGTGTATGTAATGTACTTTATAACTTCATATAGTAATTGCTTTAATTAGCGTAGCTTAATTCATTAAACCCCAAATAAAGTTCCGTAGCTGGTTCCTTACCGTCTACGTTTTGCAAGCAGGCGGAAATGGTTTTGTATTCAATTTGTCTTGAATTTATGACAACTCGGCCCACGGCCAACTCGCCGAACTCCAACACTCTCACTAATTGTTACAACTTGCATCACTTTATCAAACTCGCACCATTCACAAAAAAAAAAAAAAAAAAAAAAGGGAAAGAAAAAATATAACAAACTCGAAGAAATGTGTTTAATCATTTGATTGTTTTGTTTTTCTCTTAGCAAATTCCTCCTTTTTCGGAGCACCCGTGTCACACAGAGACAGAACTCGCACCACTCGAAAAACAAAATACTGCAAACTCGCACCATTGAAGAAATGTTTTAAATCATCAGAGAGTTCTAGATTGTCTTCTTTTAGTTATTTCCTTCGTTCTTGGAGCACCTGTATCACACAGAGACAGAACTTGACTTGCACATTTCGAAAAAAAAGAAAGAAATACTACAAACTAGCACCACTGAGAAATGTTTTAATCATCAGTGTTCTAGGTTGTCTTCTTCTTCTCTGAGTTATTTTCTCCGTTCTAGGAGCACCTGTGTAACACCGAGACAGAGGCTACTAATTGGACATTCAAACTCCTATGGAAGAAGAACTTACAAACTAATCTAAACTGCGGGTTTTTTCTACTTCCTTTGAAACGGTGAGAAAAACACAAAACAATAGAAGTATACAAAATGTTTTTGACATAATGGCGAATATTTAATACATTTGCACAAAACAGTCCGATGAAACGAGGAGGTCCGGTAAGACCCCTTTTTGGCCCCAAAATATAGCATTTCAAAAATTTGTTTAAAATGTAAACTTTTAGCTATTTATTGGAAAGAAGAATGCGTTTGTTACATAAATATGGGCTTGTTTTTGACATAATTTATCACTGCACATGCATCAGGTACAAGCATCATTAATTAATGCAAAATTACTGAAATCTTCACAATTTTAGCATTAGTGCTTATTTTTAGATGGTTTTTGTCTAGAATGGAAGTGGCCGCACTTTTGTTCAGTCTTAATATTAAATATATGTTGTATTTGAAGATGATACATAACATATATAAAGGTTGAGACTGAACACGAATACGGCCACTTCCATTTTAGACAAAACCATCTGAAAAGTGACATTTTGAGGTATTTTTGATAAATTTTTCATATTTAAGCATGAATTAAGGCGTGTTTAATGACCAAATCAGTTCAAATCTTTTACATAAACTACATTAATCGAATGAAGAAGGCATTTACGTTTTTAAATGTCAAAAACCTATCAGATGTACTTCATTTTTTAGGCCAAAATAAGCCCTTTCCTGACCTTCTCCTTTAAAGGAGTTATTGTACATGGGATAACTTATTTTATAGCTGAATACTGTTATACGATAAAGTCATGTGGTCTTTTATATGAGATTGAGACATATGACCCTGAAAGATGTCAGCTCGAATTTACCTTGTTTTAACCGAAAAAAGTCTATTTTTGAACTACTAAAATGCAAAGTACATATAAACAATATATTTTTGGAATCAGTATAATGTAGCCAATGAAGTACCAATGTGTTAACAGGAAGTAGCAAATTATCCCTCATATTTATAGCAAAAATACATAGAAAACATATTTTGTTTGAAATCATTGTAATGTAAGTTATCATATGACACCCGAAGTGTCATTAAAAATAGGTAGTAGCAAATTATCTTTTGTTTCACATAAAAATATAACGAAACCATTTATTGTTGGAATCAACGTAATAAAAATGAGAGGTGGAAGATACCAAAAGTATAATCAAACCCATAAGTCGATGACAAACAGACAACTCCATGGCAAAAAAAAACCGACCAAAAGACAAACAACTGTTTACATAAAAACATAGAAAAATAAGGACTGAACAACACAAACCCCATCATTTGAATCCGGAAGTATCTGATTATCTCTCTTATTTCAGAAAAAGATTCAATAACATATATGTTTTTGGAATTAGTCCAAGATAAGATTTCTTTTGCTCTTAAAATGACTAACTGCATGTAACTATTTTGTTCCACTGTTTCATGTGTTTAATAAAAGAATACATTTTTTAATATCTATCAAGTTCGTTTCAATTTTAATGATCAGCAAACGAGAAATAGATGGTGGAAAGTTCCACAACTGTTCTTTGAAAATTTGGTTTGCAAATGATTTCAAGTTGTAATCCTTATGTGGTTAAGGATATCTTTAACCGCAATAGTTATACTCCTTTTGATTGCTATAAATTTTCAAAAATAAATTATAAAAAATTTGATTTTTGAAAGATATGATATCTTTTGCAATGTTTCGCTACCTGTAAAGTATTCGAACTATGACAATTAATTGTAAGACTTTTTGCACTAGTAATAAAAAGTTGTCATTAAGTCTAATGTTTAAATTATAAAAATAAGTATATTACAATGAGTAATGGACTGAACTTGAAAGCAACTTGTCAGGTGTTATTTTTACAATTCTACACAATAAAACTTAAATATTAAAGGGTGTCGTCCTGGTCAAGTGTATATCACTTGTATTTTAATAAATGATACTGTT